ACGTTAATATAAAATGAATGCCGATGCTTGATGGCAAATATTTGGTGCGTCCATACCTTTAGTTTAAGGCCAAAATTATGAAAATCGGTCGTGTAGAAGAGCTAACCCGACCGGGAAAAGAAAAACTAATAATTTGTATAGATGGCAATAATTGGTTTACCAGTATGCATAATCTAATCATCCGAAACATGTGTTAATAATTTAACAGCTTATTGTTATATTGTTATTTAATTGATTTTTCTTTTATTAAAGGTTGTTGTGTTAACAATTTGTTGTATTAACAATTTGTATTTGTGTTTAAAGTGTGTTCGTTATGTTAATTGTGTGATTCTAACGTTATGTGCTTAATCTGTACCATTAATATTAGCACAGACACAGAAAACATAGTATGTTTTCTGTTATATTAGTGAGTAAAGTGGTGTAGGCCTATGGATTTCAAAACCATTATTTTACTAGAGACCGTTGCGTATTTAACTACAACGGGCTCTGTTGCTGTTGCTAGTACTGTATGTTACAGTTTACTCGTTTTATGAAACATGTCCAGAGTGTGTGCCAATTTTGTTTATTAAACTTATTGGTAAATTGGTGTAGGCCTAAGATTTTTTATATTTATTGGTAATCCAGACGCATAATATATACACGAAGTGAAGCTATTGTTTTGGTATTAACCATTTTGGAAACTGGCCCGTGGTAGGGGTACGATTGCTATTTTTCACCACACTATTCAAAATTAAGAAAATATCTATATATTAATAGGCAAGAATGTTTCTTTAAAACCTTTTCTCTCAGCTCGTGTACATCGCAGGGAAAATCTACGCATATTGTTAGAAAGATATTTTCCTGTCGATCCACAGAATCCCTTTAAAGATTAAAATAGGCTAAAAAATAAGAATAACAAATTAATTTATAATTTTAAAAAATTAACATGGGCTTCATGGGTTGCCAAGCTGATGACGAAATAACAACGATAGCGCATATTAACAGAAAATCAAAACAAATGGAAGAAGTTCCAATCACATGTTTTATTTACAGTGTGAGTTAAAAATAGAGAAGTCTGTAGTACACCTCTAGTATAAAATAAATGCACACTAATCAACACAACTAACACTTTAAGGTTATGTGAAGAAACATTTAATGGAATCACCAAAAATAATAATAAATATAGTTGCTAGGCAGCGGTGGCAATTAAACAAGTCTATTGCAATTTATATAAATATACTGCTTGTATATTAATTTAATATAGACTTTTTACAAATTGAAGGTCAGTTTGCAAATCCACGCAACACGCTCTTTCCAATGAGACATGAATGGTCAAAATCGGTTTAGGAAGGACGGAGGAGTTCAAAGGACAAATTTCGTGTTGGCGTGATTAATTATACAGGGTGGCTGAAAAGTAGCTTGCACCCCCTTAACCTTTCAACCATTTGAGATATTTGAAATCGGTTTGCGGCAACCTTCTAAGATATGAGGGGCTACAAAAGTTATGGTAAATTTTGAACATTTTGCCCTTAGCATGAATGGTCAAAATCGGTTTAGGAAGGACGGAGGAGTTCAAAGGACAAATTTCGTGTTGGCGTGATTAATTATACAGGGTGGCTGAAAAGTAGCTTGCACCCCCTTAACCTTTCAACCATTTGAGATATTTGAAATCGGTTTGCGGCAACCTTCTAAGATATGAGGGGCTACAAAAGTTATGGTAAATTTTGAACATTTTTCTAGGTAGTGGGGGTAGGGGGTAGCTCAAACTTTTCAAAAGGCAAGTACAGTCGAGTTTGGTATCATTTTACAGGTCTTGACGAAACAAAACAATTGGCATAAAGAAAACGAAAATCGTCCCACTAATAACAAAATGGCGCCCTAAAACGTATCAAATCCAAATAACCATGAGGGTGGCTGAAAATTAACTTGCACCCCCCTTTACTTTACATTTTTAACTATTTGAAATCGGTTTGCGGCAACCTGTTTTGACATGAAGGGCTACAATAATGATGGCAAATTTTAAAAATTTTGCCCTTAGGGGTAGTGAGGTTTGGGGGTAGCTTAAAAATGTCAAACAGGAAGTATGGTCGAGAACAGGTAAAAATTGAAAAAGTGACACCTCAATCTTGATATATAAAAAATGTCCCAAACCCCTTCATCTATGCTGTTTCGTTAGTAAGGCCAATGGTGTAAATACGAGGAAATAATATATGTCTTTGTTTGTATTTGTTGTATTATTTGTTTGTATTGTCTTTGTTTCAGGAAATAGTTATTTGTGCAACTAGTGAGAAAAGTGAGCAATTGACTCACTTGAGAGAAACCCTTACTCACGAGCCGTAGGCGAGTGAGGAATGGTTTCTCGAGTGAGGCAATTGTACTTTGCACTCGAGTTGCACATTATACTTTTCCTACAGTTACCATAAAACAAATAAATTTGTGAAGAAACATAACCTTATTTTTCACAGAAGTGAACTTTTAGTATAACATTTAATGTGAAGTTACAAATACAACAGTACAACAGCTGACCAGCTGATTTACAGCCAGTGCTGCCAACGTATTTCGCGCGCATACGACGTTGCCTGCATGTTACGCGCTCACTATTCCGTGCCTTCACGTTGCAAATCTGGAGTGAGACAAAGTAATTAGAGTGAGACAATGTTAACATTGTCTCACTGATGAGCAAATTGGCCACTTTACTTTCTCAAATCAGTGAGAGAACATGTACATTGTTAGGTAACTGTAGGAAAACGTATTTTTCTCTCTTTTAGCGAATTTCCCTATAGGGAAGTAGCTATTACCGTAGGTGGCACGGTAAGACCTAGACCCGGGACCGATTGACTTTTTCATTTTGATGTCCCCAGAGGCCAAAAACACTATTCGTTCAAATTTTTATATATGTATATATATATAGACTTATATATATATATATATATATACGTCCGTGAACGCGATAACTTGAGTAATTTTTGTCCGATTTTGATGAAATTTGGTTTAAAGGTGTAAAGCGGGATAAACTTGAATGAGTTCGCGAACCAGCACGATCGGAACATGGGAACGGGGCTTTACGGGGGGTTTTATGGGGTAAAAATTGGTTTTTCTCACTTTTGACCCTCAAAACACAAAATTTCCCAATTTCTCTTTAGACCTTTTTAAAGAGCTTAAAAAAACAAATAATTTAGTATATAAAAGTATTTTTGTTCGAATATTAGTAACGGAGAAAATTTAAAAAAATGTAAATTTAAAATTCCCATGTTATTCTTATGGAGAATATTGTCAAATGTTGTAGTTTGCTTGTTTATGAATATATTTTGATCAAACTTGGCAAATTTATTTATTTTGTACTAAGCTATCAATATTTTACTCAAAAACACACTTTATTAGTTTCCTTGTAGCAGCAAACCTAGGTACTCGTTAAATCTAATGTTATTAAAATATATTTAACTGAAAATAAATTCAGACAAATGGAAATTCGCTTAGTCGGCAGGTTTGCTGCGGCGGGGGTATTTACAAATCTTGTTTTCTTTGTTATTGTTGAAACTCATATATTTATTGTTATTGTTGAAACTCGTAGGCTATATTTATTGTTTGTCGTTCAATTAAATTTTCACTTACTATTCTTGTTTGTTGTTCATGTTCATTGGTTGTTTTGATTTGTGTATTTCTATTTAGTATGCTTATTTAGTACCTGATGTAAATGACCTCATTTATTTTGTAAATACTACACTTTAAGCCCGTTTTTGAACCTTTTTTGATACTTCTTGAATTGTATTTATTTTACTCCATGTCATTTTCAGAAAAATACTTTTGTATGTTAAAAAAATGTCTTTGTATGTAATGTTTAAGTTAGCTTAAGTCATCTTGTTGTATTACCATTGTAAATTGGTTCTTGACCGTTGGAAGATAAAATAATAATAATAAAATAAAATATGTTTCACTAAAGAGCAATAACAGTTTCATGACATTATGAGTTGAATCAAATAATTTAGCTTCGCCGATAGGTAAAATTTCAAGTTCTAAGGAATTTTACTAGGCCAAAATCACATTTAAAATATATCAAATTTGCATGCAGCACATATTTCTGAAGAAGAATACATACATGTCTAAACAAATGTGGGACTTAGATTGTACAATGAATTACCCCTGTATCTTACAAATTTAAATGCTACTCAATTCAAAGATAAAATAAAAGATAAAATAATTGATACAGCCTACTATTCACTAGACAAATTTTTGGAGAACCCTATAGTGTAGATAAAAATTCTCTGATATCCTACATGAGTTTATCTTTTATTATTTTAACTATTAATTTTACTATAAAATACATCACTATGACGAAACACCTGTTCTTATGTATGAAATGTACTTTATAAAGAACGTTTTGTGTCAATAAAATATGTCTATGTCTATGTCAAATATAGGCAAAAAATGATTCATAAGTCAAATTTTTACACCACCATAAGATGGTTCATGTGTGGAAATTTTCTGTCCACAGGGGCACCAAGCAAAACCCGCTATTTTGTCAGATTTCTAAAGTTTTCCCTGACCCTGTCTGAAGCCGTATGACATTATTCTTTATACGAAAATAAAGATAAACTCTCATCACCTTTCCAATGCTACAAACTGTACTCTTCGCGCTCAGATTTTTTTTCAAATTACATTGAACTTTATATTGATGTGCTTGTGTTACAAGGTTAGTTTATATATGAAAATGAAAGTTTGGAATCCTCTTTCCAACGGTAACAATATTATAATGGATTGCATTCATTTTCAATGCGTTTGAAAAATTACACTTGTGGACAAAAAATGTCCAATGGGTACCGAGCGCCAACTTTTTCTGAACATTTTCTGTCCACAAGGCGCTCCTTTTAAACTATGATCTTTATGTATGAATTAACAATGATTTAATTTATAATTAGAAATACTAAAGAGGTTAAGGTGAGAATATTACTAAGTTCAAGTTGAGCACACTTGTTACAAGCAGGAGTCTGAAGAAGTAAAAATGTTCTCCAATTATTTTAAACAAAGATTTATTCAATACCAATTGTTTACATAACTATTCTAAAACTATGAACATAGATACTAAAATATATACCAATTATTTAACAAAAACAAATTAACTCATACAAATTAGTTTGTACAACTCAAAACACAAGTTTTCAAACAAAAACTACAATGGTACTAAACACAGTTTTGTTTAAAAGCTGGTTTTATTTCACTTAAATGGACTATCCACAAAATGTACAAAAATAGTTTTTTACCAGCTACTAAACACGTGAAATACCTTGAGCTCCTTCTCTAATACATCCTAACAATGTCAATTAAGATAAAAGTATTAAAATTAAATTTTCTGACTCAAATAAATTAAATTACTTTAGTTTTTTTAACTTTTATAAATTTAAATCAATTAACTTTCATTTTTGTTTGTCAAATGGGAAGTTGTTATTAATTCCAAATAAAAACTAACTTTACTTAATTTTACCAATTTCATAATTAGGAATACTTCACCTAGAAAAGAAACATGAAAATGTTGTTAAGAATAATATATTTATAAAATAAACCCTAAAAACTCATGGAAGATCACAACACCGAATCAATACACACAAAAATAACCACCCCAAGATGAGTTTAGACTAAGAATAGGAAATAGCTATTTAAATATTAAATCTACGGACAATAAACCAATCAACTTTTACTATCTCCCATTAGTTGTTACCACAGTTAAAAAAATAATGTTAAATCTTGTTTAATGCAAGAAAACAATATACAAATACTGTAATACCATTTTATGTTACCAATTTGAATTGGGAATTGGGAAAATACCAATTTAATTAACAACTGGGCGTATTTTAACCCAAATATGAGTGTAGGACAAAGTAGAATATACTAAGAGCAGCCAGAAAAATACTAAAATTTATAACTTTAAGGCTTTTAGTCACTATTAATCTGTGTTAAAAAAACACTTCATTTGAACGAATCAACGTCTTCATTTGTATATACAATTTATAATTAATAAAACAGACATTAGGTTTCATGTAAACAAAATTTTATTGTGTTTCCGTTTGCAGTCATTCAAACCATATAGCAAGTTGTAATGTGACTGGCATTTTAGGATTTTACAAGAATTGTACTTCCCAGAGGGATTTCGAGCTATCACCCTTATAAGAGTTTATATTATTTCAGTAAAAGTTCCACTGGTGTAGACACTAACAAAAAATAATAACGAAGGTAAAGGCTAACTGTAAACAAGTTGGTAAGATTGTGGAACAGCAAGTTATGAAACTATTGCATGAAAAAAAACTATTCTTAATTATCAACACATGTTGAACCAATTAACAATTGTATTAATATTGGGGTTTTAAAATGACAGACTAAATATTATGTTGATGGTATAACTTAAAACAAGTACATGCCCAGCTATAATAATTAAGTTTATTGTGTTACCAAAGAAATCAAGATATTAAGGGCTTTAACAAACATTCAAAAAAGCAACTGTTTCCAATCTCCAAAAAGCTAACAAGGGTATCTCTTTTAAAATTGTAAATTTTCAAAACTTACTGTGGTTAGTCATACTTTGTACATCAAAGTTTCATTCTTTTGTTAAAACGTTCAGTGGACCTAGATAAGGATGGGTTGGTCTTTCTAAACCTCTTTGGGACACTGAATTTTTACGCATTTGAAAACTATGTAAACATTAATACTGCTCTGGGTTGTCAAGTTACTTAATATGCAATTAGTACCAGGATACTTTACTAGTCAAAATTCATTCTTCAAATTTTAAATGGAACCTTTTATGTTGATAGTAAATTTTCCTCATTTAAATAAATAGGCTGTGACATAATTAATCAAATTATGATATTGCAGTCCCTATTATATTAAACTATCATACTTATCAGGTGTCTAAGCTTGCTTTGAAGATTGAACATAGGTGAAAGTAGTTGATGGTACAAAATTATGTAAAATGTTTGCTAGTGGAAGTTTGTAAAGGCAAATCAAAACACAATATTAAGTAAACAGCTTAATTTAGTATTTCTTATAAAAATGCACTTCATACCACATTTACATGGTACCACATTCTAATGTTTTTCCAGTTAACATTTTTTATGATGATTAAAAGCAATATAAATAACTTAAATATATTTTTAAACACTATAGGCCCATGCAGTTGTATTACAATTAAAATATTCAATAAAGATGTACTTGGTGTTACATTCTATTACATTTTTTCCAGTTACGAATTGAATATGCTAGTAAAAATAGAAGATAAATAAACAACTTACAGTAGAATCTCGATTAAACGTCAGCCTGTACTTAATTATTTTTAATTGGGATCGAACATTGAACAAGTACAACATACAAATAATAGTTCTAAATTGCTCTTGTATGTAAGTAATTTAAAAATAAATATATATTATTCGCTTGTACAGGCTTTAATTTCTTCCAAAACCTTTAAAATCAACTTACTGTACAGATTTAAAATAGGATTTCTGTTATCCTTTATTCGCTTAACCATCACACTCACAGACCCAGGGTGACGGTTAATAGTGGTTCTACTGCATTATAGTATTTCTTTCTAATGTATTCAGTACCAGAATCCAGTCTGTTGCTGCTTCATAAGTATTATTTGAACACACATAACACAATATATTTTAAAGCATTTTGTATAGAGTTGTCTAACAGTTTTATTACTATCAGATCTGATGGACTTTTTTACCAATTTTTTTTTTCAAATAAATAATTGTAAAGCTAGTATGAACACAATATGAATAGTTGAATTCATTATTTCTTTTAAATACACTTTGTAACAGAATTCAATTTTAATTTAAAATATTTTTATAATATAACAGAATTAACAAAAAAACTATTATATACAGTAGAGTATCACAAACCAGGCTTTCGATAAGTCAGCAGTTCTAATATCCCCATGTGACAGAGAATTGAAAAATAAATTTTAAATAAATAAAATGCCCATATCATAATAAGCTAACGTGACACTGACAAGTCTCTTTATGTATTGCCACTCAAGGTGAATGCCCTCCTGCCATTGGCTACCATCTTCGTGGACAGTTACACCTCATTCCCAGTGTTTAAGTAGTGAGATTGAGCTATTGCATTCTAGTCAGTGTGCATTACGACAAAACTACTAATATGGCAACTTCATCTAACCCATGGAACAGAAGTTATGTACATTAAAACGACTGGGCAAAGGAGGTAATGTAAGCAAGGTGTCTATGGAAGGATTTTCAGTTGGTAAGAATATAATTGGTGACTGGAAAAGAAATTGAGCAGGATAACAAGTGTGGTAAGTTAAGAGAATTGCAGTGAAACATTAAAAGGAAAAAATATAAAAAAGTAGGCGAGGCACTACCTATGGCTCCATCAAGCTCTAGGAAAGGGAACCCCAATTTCAAGTCCATATTGCTAGGGAAAGCGTTTAAGTTCTACGAGCAGCAGATTTTGCAGCAATTGTTGGTAGGCTTGACAGTTGGAAAAACAGTATGGAGTCAGACTACTAACTGTATGTGGTGAAAAACTTTCTGGGGACATGACAGGTGTTTTAAAGTTTAAAGAAAAATTTAAAAGGTAATTGAAAGTGAAGGTGTGACAGAGCAGATTTATAATTCACAAGAAATGGGGTTAAATATTTTACCCTTAACGGGGGTTAGCTAAGCCCTTGCTTCAAAGAATGAAAAGTCTGCTCTTGGGTACCCGAGAAGCAGCGAACTTATTACCATCTTGGCCTGCAGCAATGTGACAAGGGAGGACAAGCTAAAACTATATCTAATAGTTAAAGCTAAAAAACCATGTGCTTTTAAACATGTTAATGTAGCCAGTCTTCCAGTGTGGTGTAAACACCAGACAGTGCATGGATCAATGGGTTGGTCTTTAAAGAGTAGTTTTACAAACAGTTTGTACCTGCTGTTGAAAAACATGTGAAACTGAAAACTCTTCCAAGAAAAGCACTTCTTATCTTAGACAATGTCTCTTCACATCTTGACATAGATGAATACACAATGGTGATATAAAAACTGTAATCCTGCCTCGTAACGTGACTTCATTATACCAGCCAGGGAACCTGGAGTTCTAGAAGATATACAACAGCAAGCTGGTTTCATATATTTTGGTAGTGGTTGAAAATTGTCAAGATTTGGTGCAAAACTTAAAAAAGTAGACTTATTGGAAAAAAATTGGACGGGTGCATTCCTGGAGAAAACTTCTTGACAAAGAAAACAAGATGAAGAAAATTATGGGCTAACAGGCTCCTGGTTGTGAAAATGCAAATGATGGTGACTTGACAGAATGGATGGAGCAGGATACTGGAGAAAACAATCTTTTGAGTGAGGCAATTGTTGAAACAGTAAAAGAAAAAGGAGAGAAGGGAGAAAGTATTTGGGATTCTGATAAAGAAGAGATTAACAAGGGAGATGAACAGTCAAAAAATAACTCACTGTGAGGGACTTAAAATATGGCTTCAATACTTTTCAAATAAAATAACGGACGTTCAAAAACACAATTTTGTGCGATTTCTGTCAAGTTTTCTCCCAAAGTTTACCACATAGGCTACGTCATTTATGAAATAGGCCTACTTATCATTTGTTTGGCAAATACAAATTCACATTAAATATGAAAAAAAACTGCTGTTCTGACTATAGGAAGGTTTCAACTGACTAACAGATCCCTGTCCGTAGAACGGGTACACAGCTAGTAATGTTTATAAAATTTGATTCCTGTTTGTGTTAGCTAGCCTTGGAGGATTAATTTTATTAAGAAACAAACTGTATGCACATGATATAGTGCTTTTATATTCTTCGTTCTATTGTTTACTTTTCACTTTTTGTTCTGTTATATCAGTTCAAGTGAAAATTTACTGTATTCTACAGAGTATTTGATGAATAATAACCATTTATAATCAATTAGAGAATTTTTGTTATGTTTAGTTCTATTATTCTCAATAAATTGGCATTTTCACTGACTCAGACACATTTGGGTCCTCATTAGGCCAGGTTTGAGAGATTCTACTATTGTTGGTAGTAAACCTTCTGATGCATTTGATTGAAGTTAAAATTGAACAAATAAATTCTTATTGTCACTTAAATAATAAATATGAATAAATACGTTCCATTGTACATGACTAAGGTTCATTGAGTTCAATCATATCAATCATTCAAACACAACAAACAACTTGACCTGGTATATGTACTTCGTACCAACCAGATTCAATAATTGTTAACTATTTAAAAATTAAAGTTTAAAAATAATTTGGTATTTTCAGATTAACATTTTTACAGTGGTCAGTGTTAATGTACATATTACCAAATTCTATTATTTGTTTTTGTTAGGTTAGGTAAACACATTACATTAATAAATAAACAGCTTAATTTACATTAACTCAGTTTACCAGAACTCAATTGTTTGCCAGTTTTATATTAAAATAATACAGACTAAAATAATTGAATAAGTGACACCATAAATTACTCTGTATGTTATACAGGTTATCAAGAAGTGACCAAGTCAGATTGGAGGAAAACTTGAGCAATGACGACTTAAGGAGAAGTAATAGATTGTTATATATTATATTAATAGATTTTTGTTAAAAATACTTAACTTTTTCTAGACAACGTTGAACATCAAATAAAAATTCATGCAAATAAATATAAAGAAATTTTGAATTGAAAATCATCAGTTCAGTCAAATTACAAATTCGTTTTTAGTAAAGCTATGAACAAACTTTTCTCCTACTATTTCCTTTTACATGAAACATTAAAAGATAAAAATAAACTCTATATACACGAATATCAATACCTCTTTTTAAAATTGTACTTTTAGTATTTGATAAAATAAAAATATACAAACATTTTCTATAAAAATTAACTTATTAAACATATCTAGCTACTGAACTTATGAAGAACTACACAAATAAATAAACCTATACAATTTCCATATATACATATTAACACAGTTACAGGGAACATATTGTTTACATTTTCACGTACAAAAGAGCGAATTAACCTTATTTTTACACGCACATAGGTGCTCCCTTTGGACTCGACCTAAGATAACAGCACAGGACTAGTAAACAGCATCAGCATCAGCATCCACCTATCACTACCACTAGGTATTAAAATAGTGTTGAATTTACAGGTATGTACATCACTTACTACTTGAACCACCAAGGTGGATAAAATGGAATTATCACAATGAGGAAAGATACGCTTAAACGCTTAGTTGAGCGTACCACGACACTGCGGTGCGCCACATAAACAAGGGATCTTCTCATCTTCAATAGGAAACTTGTAGTCATAAGTGATCTCCTCGTTAACGCCGATAGGTTGCTTGGAATAAATGACAATCTTCTTTTGACCATCAATGGTAATGATCTTCGCATAACAATTCGGCTGGAATAAGAACACTTTGATTAAGGAAGAATGGAAACTTAAAATAAAACATTTTTTTTTAATATTATGAATATACAAAAAGCTAATTGAGCTCATTAAGACATATCTGACACCAGTGTATGGATCAAATATCAAATAAATATTTCTAAGTAACCTAGAATATAAAAAAGTTTAGATTTGTAATGTCAAATATAATTATTATAATACGATATTGAAAATTACAACAAATACAATTATAACTACTATTAATTAATTTCATCAGAATATGTGGATGTTATTAACTCGTTCAATAATTATTGAAAGATGTCAAAATATAAATTGCAGTGGCATTACGTTTGAATAAAGCCACACAATCTAGTGTTTAGCCCAGAACAATAGTGATATTGACTGATCATTAAATAACCTACAGTGAAAATGGAGCTGCAATGTGTCTATACTTAAAGACCTTGTTATTGACTGCATTTGAACACATCTCCAAGAAAAAGTCCACAAAACAAGTGAACATTTAGTAACAAATGGTAAGCGACCACGTCTAAATCACACTCAGTCTATTATAATAATGAACATATGATACCAGTTACCAACCATATTTAATTTTATGTCTGTGTCGCATGTGTTAATTATTTACAATCTTCAAGAAAAATAATAACCCCCCCCTTCCACCGGCGAACATGCAGATTAAGCAAAATTACGTTTACCTGTTTGGATTTTCACTAAAATATTCCCCTTAACATTGTAAAATTTATTTCCTAAATCCATTTACATAATATTGATTTTAATGAGTATACTTAGGCTTGCTGCTGCAGAAAAATAATGAAGTGTATTTGTTAATAGCTTAATATGAAATAAACAAATTTGCCAAAGTTTATATATCCTTAAATATACTATATCCTTAAACAACCAACTAGCCTACCACAATTTATTTATTTATCTCCATTAAACTATTAGGCGTACAACAACGCCAATATACTAAACTATTTGTGTTTTTAAGCTCTACAAAATAGTTTTTGGTGGTAAATTGTGGGAAAATCAATTTCCACCCAATAAAACTCCGTTCCTATAGTCTGATCTTGCTGGTTCACAAATTCGCTTGAATAAATGTAGGTTAATCCGTTTGTACAGTTTCATCAAATCAGATGATTTTTACTCCAGTTATCGTGCTGACAAACACATTACAAATAGCATAAATGTACTGATGAATTTGAACAAGCGTTTTTGGCATCTTTGGGACATCAAAATGAAAAAGTGGATCAGTCCCGGGTCTATGTCATACCATGAGACCTGCATTAATAGCTTATTCCTAATATGGGAAATTGGCTCAAACTAATGTTTTACAGGAAAGCAGACTGTAACAAGTCGTTGACCAGTTCGGTTGGTCAGTTACTTACATTACAACTGTGGTTGATGAATCTTGCGAGATTTCCACATTTCGTAGCATCTATGATGGCCTCCAAATCTATTCGGAATAGATAAGAAGAGCCGATGCCAGTAGCTTCATACTGCTTCTCCCGTAGATCCGCCACAAGTGGCCGAACCATCTGACCCACGTACTCAATAACCATCTCATCTGCAGCAATAGGTTCCATTGCAAACAGGCCCCAATCGTGGATCTTGGATTTGGCAAACTTGAGTTGCTTCTTTCGAAACTAGAAATTGACATAAAGAATCAGTAAATAAATTGAACACAATATAATAAAATATAGATGGTGATTGAAATACTGTTGATTTAACTGACCTAACATATATATTAGGTAGGGGTCTGCGGTGCACCGAAAAAGTCGGTACGGTACGGTACAAGCTTAATTACCGTCATCGGTTCGGTACAGCATTTTACACGGTACAAATTCGGTTTGGTACAGCCTATTATAATAATAAATTACTTTCAGTTTACTATCGTAGTCAATGGCAGTTGGTTCCGAGCACATAAAAGTTTTATCAGATGTTTGTTTACGATCTTCATAATTTATTACTAGCGTGATGATGCAATAAAAAACCCATTAGCAGTCCCAAATCCATTAACATTTTATCACGACAATAATTGTTGTATTGAAGTACTTCCAAGAACTGTTGAGTTTTATCACTTTTATTTCTTTACGACTTTCCCCAATTCTGTTATATCATAAAAATAATAGTTTTATGATGACTGTTAAATGTTATCTCTAACTTAATCAGTATTCCGGTTAACATGGCGGTAGACGATGAGAACTCTGACTGTGCTGTGTGTAATAAAACAGTGAAAGAAGACCAAGACGGATTATTCTGTGATGGTTTCTGCAGGAGGTGGTTCCATATAAAATGTGCGAAAGTTCCAAAAAGTGTTTTTAGTGACATAAACAGGCTACACGAATTTATTCAGTGGACTTGTGAAAAGTGCCTATGTCGCATGGCAACCATGAGAACGTATGTATGTAGCAATGAAAATTGTACAACTCTCCATGAAACAGTCGGTAAACTACTAAAACTAGTAAAGGATCTTAATCAAGACCATAACCAATTAATTTCAAAAATGGAATCATTGAATCAGAATAACATTAAACTAGAATCTCGCCTAACCTCAATTATTTTGACAAAAATGCCGGAAGTTCAAAATCAAAACATATTTCAAGCAGACGACAACGTCCACCACGGCGACTGCAATCTGACCACAACGGATTCATTTGAATCCGCTCCAGAAGGAAAATCTGACCACTCTGATAGGGGTATAAATCCTAAGACCATGACGATTGATATGACGATGTCAAATGTCAGTAATGTCACTGAAATGGACAAGGCAAAAAAAAAATCAGCAGCAGACGACATTGCGCAAACAGAAGAAGCATCTGACAAGAAGAAGAAGAACTGCATGTTGTCAATAGACAAATCTGATGTTGTCTGGACTACTGTTGGTAACAAACATAGGAAGAACAAGACCAACCTGACGAGTGATGAGACAAGTAACAACCGTGTTAGCGCATCTCATGTAGACCATAAGCTGAGTTATGCGGCAGTAGCTACCTCAAACATTAGTGCCAAAGTTATTGCTACGAACCAAGACAGACAGGAGGCAAGGTCGGTGACGAGAAGAACCGTGACTAGGCCTAGATCTACAACCGCTAAACAAGTTCTTGTGGGGACTTCGGATGATGAAACCCTAAAAGGGGCAAAGAAAGCCTGGTTACACTTGGGGAAAGTCAAAAAAGGTACCGAGGTGGCCGATGTTCAAGGCTACGTGGCTAAAGTCTTCCCGGGAGTGGAATTCCAGATTGACAAGTTAGAAACAAAAGGCTCCAATGATAGTTTCAAGATAGGTTGTGACTTTATCCACAAGGACAAAGTTTTGGATGGCAAATTGTGGCCCAAGAACATTACATTGAAGCGTTTTTTATTCCGGGAACCAAGGAAAAGTGCAGTGACGTAGGACATGTTGCTGTCCCAGTGCCCATCTCGGATACCTTAGCTTTTACAGACAATAGGCCTATACAAAATCCTCTAACCTCAAATGTGCCTAGGAAGCCCGACTTGGCCAGGGATGTGGCTCCTGTACCTAAAACTAGTAATCATATGGTATTTGGCTATCTTAACATTCAGTGTTTGCGTACTAAATTAAATGTCACCTCACTTTTTTGCGAAGAAAATCAATTAGACGTTTTCTGTGCTTGTGAACATTGGCTAGGAAACGATGAGATACACGCTTACAGCAAACTGAACTCATTGCAACTAGTAGCAAGTTATTGTCGTGACCTGCACAAGAATGGTGGTGTCTCTATATATGTGAAACAGGACTTGCTCACTAGGTCTAGGCCTATTAATCTTGTGCAGTATTGCAGTGAACTCGACATTGAGATAGCTGGTATAGAACTGATGGACAAATCCCTCATCGTCCTCAGCATATATCGCTCGCCTGATGGGCAGGTTCTGAAGTTCTTCGATCTGCTCGACCAGTGTCTAGGCTATCTTGCTGGTTTCAAGAAAAACATTATTTTGGGCGGAGACTTCAACATAACCCTCAATGCCAACGATGTAATGGCCAATGACTTCGTAGATCTTCTACGCTCTCATGGACTGTTCATCACTAGTCTTCTGCCTACGCGTGGACCTCGCTGCCTTGATACAGTGGCCACAGATCTTAACATATGGGAATATCAGGTTTGGACAACCGAACCGTATGTGGCGGACCATCAAGCGGTTCTCATGGAAGTCAACTCCAGTATGGTGAGTCCTTCTTTAACAGTTCCTGCATGGTTAAATCTCTATACTAGACATCATAGGTTATTAGATGAAGATCTTATTCCTAGTTTTAAACATGCTCTTTCACAGGTCCCCTGGGATGATGTCTTATTTGGCAAGCAAGCCGAATCGGCTTTTGAGGCATTTTTTGATGCATACAATTCAGTTTTTAATACTTTTTTCCCCTTAAAAGTCAGCAAAAAAGTAAACCCTCAAACCAAAAAAACCCCACTCCGGCCTAGGGACAAATCTTGGTTTACTGCAGAGCTGAAGCAGATACAAATGTTTGTTCTAGCATTCAGGGATAGGTACATGACAGCGGAGACCCCCGCCAATAGGGAGCATTTCTTTAATCTTTACACCAGAGCCAAAAGGTTGTATAGAATTAAAATAGACCAGGCAAAGAAAGCTTCTAATGTGAGGCTCATTGAAAGCTCGCTAAATCCTTGTAAGGCGGTTTGGAACTTGGTCAACAACAACCGTAATACCGGTCAAGGGCCGTCACCTGCCTCTAAATGTTCTGCTAGCCCCGATGACTTTAACACCCATCTCATCAGTACTGTAGCAGGCATTGTAGGCACCGCTCCTGTAGATAATAATGAAGTAGTCAAAGGCATACAGTCTCCTGATGCCAACCTTTCATCCTGGCAACCTCTTACACCAGAGAGCCTTGTCACCATGGTAGGCCATTTTAAGACCTCTCACAGCCCCGACATATATGGAATGACTACTGTCATCCTAAAACACACTGTTAATATTGTTGCCATCCCTCTTTGCCAGGTCCTGAACTCTTGCCTGAGTGCCGGAATATTTCCTAGAATTCTAAGGGTGTCTAGAACTGTCCCCATATACAAAAAAGGAGATCCAGCAAGTGTACAGAGCTATAGACCCATATCTATCATACCAACCTTCGCTAAGGTCTTTGAAACAGCCATCAAACTCCAGCTAGTCTCTTATCTTGAGCGCAATAACCTGATGTCCAATCTTCAACACGGCTTCCGTAAAGACAGATCAACTGTCACTGCCGTTTCTGAGCTCGTACATCGCATTCAACAAGCCTTTGAGGATACCAACACTGTTGCCTTGACATTATGTGACTTGAGCAAGGCATTTGATTGCGTCTCACATGACATTCTGCTTGCCAAATTAAATAAATATGGGGTGCGTGGTGCAGTTTACGACACCTTTGTGACATATTTGGAGAACCGACAGCAGGTCGTCTCGATAGCTGGAGCTAAGTCCCGAGCTCTCAATGTTCCTCACGGGGTGCCTCAGGGATCGGTTGTGGGCCCTGTCCTCTTTCTGATAGCCATAAACGATCTTGAGCTAAGTGGCAATGCACTCAGGTTTGCTGATGACACTACCCTAATTTCTGTTGGTAACAATCCAGGAACTGCCTCAGAAAGAGCTGAAGTGATGTTTAGGGCAGCAAAGGACTGGTTTGAGACAAACAAATTAAAACTAAACCAAGACAAGACACAAAAAATCCTGTGCTCACTTAATTCAAACTTGGCTCAGGACGTTGTCAAGGTAAATCTGCTAGGCTTTACGATTGACCCAAAGCTGAGTTGGAAAGACCATGTGGATAACGTGGCTAAGAGGTTGTCGAGAGTAACACATCTTCTCAGGAAGTTAACGAGACTAGTTGATAAAGCTTAGGTACCTAGTTGTGGTCTATCACGCTTTATTCCACAGCCACGTTACTTACGGTCTCCAGCTATGGGGTCATGCAGCTAATGTCTCCAGAATCCTAAAGCAGCAGAAGAAAGCTCTGAGAATTATGACTGGCAGCGGGCGACAGGAGCACTGCAAGCCTATATTCGCTGACTTGGGCATACTCACCATTCATAGTAACTACATCCTTCAATGTGTCAGCTACGTACACTCCAATGTAAATACCTTTACCACCAGACAGCAGGTGCATGCGCATAACACCAGACGCAAAAATCACATTGACGTACCCTATTGTAGGCTCAGCAGGACAAAAGACGCTTTCCCTGTCATGGCCCTCAGACTGACCAATAAGTTGCCGGTTGCAGTAAGGGATTTAAACCACAATCAGTTTCAAGCAAGGTTAAAGTGTTGGCTAAAAGCTAGGCCGTATTACTCACTCAAGGAATTCTTTGAGGACGACCTTACAGGACTCTAAATCTACCGCCATAAAGTTTTTTAAGTTCTTTTGGTCTAATGACCATACGAAAGTCTGTATATACTGTAAATAGTTTTTGTAAATATTGACGCAGCCTATCCAGCTTATGCTGGTATCAAGCCAAGGAGGAGGTAATAAGGTAATAAGGTATTTTCGTGAATATTGAATTTGCCGCTGGCCATTGCCTACTGCCATAAAACTGTTTATGGCTACATATTAAACTTGTAACAAATCTACAATCTTATTTTATAAATTAAATATTTGTTATGGATATTTTATCTTTCTATTGAC